CCCAAACCCTCAGAGAACTAATTGTAGATAGGTATATGTATAGGTAGGTAATTGATGTTTTGGATATTTGTGTCTACTAAGCTTGGTTATTTCCGGTTCTCGCTTGTAAGCAAAAACTTGTTATTTATGTCTTTTTGTTATGTATATTCCATGGACAAATTTCTCAATATCTCAAGAAAGCTTACTACCTTAAAATCAAGAAACATTGGAAATCACCTAAACATTTAAGTTCCAAAGTTACAATAAAAATTGCAAATATTTGTTTGCTATTGTTTACTACAAATTCGTTATGAGTGTGTGGTGAAATGTAATTCAGAGCACGTATAGTCTTCTATAGATTAAATCTCCGACAGCTTTAGTACTTTGTCGGGATCTTAACATGTCTTGTGAATTAATTTTTCCGTTTTGCATGGAGACTTTAAAGAGCAAGAACCCCGTAGAACTTTTTTTGAAAAAATGTCGTTGCTATTTATCTAAAAGTTAGGTAGTTTAAGTATCAACCAAAGGTTTGTGGAACAGTATTTGATATTATAATTAACCACCAAAATATTTACGCTACTATATTTTCATTTGACCCTATACAAAAAATTCGCCATTATTTTTTCATATGTGTCTGCTTGCACTGCATATATGTAGTCATAACTTTTTCTATGTATAGGTACTTATTAATTATTATACAGGGTGTTCATTTTAAAACTTATTACCACCCCTATTATCTCGGAGTTGGAAAATTTTCGGAAAAACTACTGAAACACGTCAATTAAAATTTGAAGGGGGTTGAGTTTTTATGCAAAATCCACCTCCCCCCTTTCAACCCCCCAGCCCCCAGAGCCACTCCCAAGAAAATCATAAATGGGAAGGGGGGTCAAGTGATACATCATTTTGGAAGGTTTTTAATTCCATAAATTTTGATACTAAATTTTAATCCCTAGGTTCAACTGTTTTGGAAATATTGACAGTTGAAAATTGACTTTTTTGCAACTTTAACAGGCTGTAAAACCTAAACGGTTAATTTTAGAGGAAAACCGATCTTACATTCTTATCTTAGATTTCCATAAATTATCATTTGACAGCAACTTCGAATTAAATCCATGATCAAATATTTCGGCTAAAAATTCAATCTCTGGTTAAATTCAAAGTTGGTGTCAAATGATAATTTATGGAAATCTAAGGTAAGAATGTAAGTTCGGTTTTCCTCAAAAATTAATCGTTTAGGTTTTACAGCCTGTCAAAGTAGCAAAAAAGTCAATTTTCAACTGTCAATATTTCCAGAACAGTTGAACCTAGGGATTAAAATTTAGTACCAAAATTTATGGAATTAAACACCTTCCAAAATGATGTATCACTTGACCCCCCTTCCCATTTAAGATTTTCTAGGGGGTGGCTCAGGGGGCTGGGGGGTTGAGAGGGGGGAGGTGAACTTTGCATAAAAAAATCATCCCCGTCAAGTTATAGTTGACGTGTTTCAAGATTTTTTTTTTCAATTCCGAGATAATAGGGGTGGTAAGTTTTAAAATGTACAGGGTGTCCGAATTTGGATGGTTTTAATAGGAAACATCAATTTCTGAGCAAGATACAAAAAAATGAACCCCCCACTCCGAGGCTCAAATTTCATGAATTTTTGATTGGTGCAAACCGCATTTTGATATCTTCAACCGTTTAGCCGCTAGAGGGCGATTCTCGATTTTAAGCAATAATGTGAAACCATCATAACCGATCATAACTTTTTTGTTTATGAAAATTATTGATTTCCGTAAAAACTTTCTGAATGCACTTTTTCAAGCAGAATTCAGTGACGTTGTCAGTTTTTTTCTAGTTGGTCCCAACTCCGAGATATTGACCAAAGTCTGGTTTTTTTCAATAGGACACTCTATATATTAATAGCTCATTAGAAAGCTCGGCTTTTTCTGATTTCAATGATATAAAGTTCGATAGGTTTATCTCTAATAGTTTTCGAGAAAAAAAATTATTTCGGTTTTTGTCATAAGAAGTAATGTGTAAGAAAAGGACTTTATATCTGTAAGGAAACTGAGAAAGGTCTCTTTCTAACTCATTGTTTCTTATGACAAAAGCCGAAATATTTTTTTTTTCTCAAAAACTGTTAGAGATAAACCTATCGAAATTTTTATCATTGAAATCAGCAAAAGCAGAGCTTTCTAATGAGCTATTAATATATAGGGTGTCCCATTGGAAAAAATCGGATTTTGGTCAAAATCTTAAAATCGAGGCCCAATAGAAAAACTGAAAACGTCACTGAATTCTGCTTGAAAAAGTGCTTCTAGGAAGTTTTTACAGAAATCAGTTATTTTTATAAACAAAAAAGTTATGAAGATTTCACAGTATTGCTCAAAATCGAGAATCGCCCTCTAGCGGCTAAACGGTTGAAGATATCAAAATGCGGTTTGCACCAATCAAAATTTCAAGAAAAATGAGCCTCGGAGTGGGGGGTTCATTTTTTTGTATCTCGCTCAGAAATTGACGTTTCCTATTAAAACCATCCAAATTTGGATGCCCTGTACACCCTGTACGTAAATAAAATAATGTGAACATACCCCAGGGAAATTAGAGCAAAAAAAAGGGCCATCTGCGGAATGAGGCCGAACAAGCTGAATTTTTGCAGACCTTCGTTTCGATGTTCTAATAAAGCACAAAAAAAATCGAAAATGCCTACCCTTGTGCGTCTTAAGATATCGAAGGTCAAAGGTCACGAAAATCGTTTTTTTAAGAAAATCTCGCTTCCAGTGCATCTAACGTCGAAGAACCCAAAACAAAACTTACGTAAAATAGTATTTTCTACAAAATTGTTCAGATACATTTTTTTGTACGACCAACCGTTTTCGAAATATAGCGTGATAAAGCGGGAGCGCGCATTCAAAATTGGTGATACTAGAGAGATATCGGTGAATCAGATAGCGCGTATGGACGGTAATAACGTCAGGAGTTATTTTTTTAAAGTAAAGCGGTATCATACTTTCAAATTAGAGTTATCGGAAAACGGTTTAACGTAAAATTTGCCTGTTCGCATCCGTTATTTTATAACCGTAGCCTAACTTGTACCTTGTTGTGATTTGATTTGTGTTGTCTGTTGTTGTCAGGGACAGAGGATTTGCTTTTTTACTATTTTTTGAACAATTCATATTCACTTGTACACAACAAAAATAATGAAATAAACAAAAACAATAAACATAACATAACCTATATTATTCCACTGCGTTATTTCTAGGCGTTATTCGAAATAGCGCTTAACGTAAATGCTGTGTAAATTACGTTATGCGGTAACGTTATTTTGGTACGTAGTGTTAAAAATCGAATCGCGCATAGGTTTAATAGAGAGTTATTGGAACTATTAAATACTGCCTCGCAGTATTAAGGATCTACGTTATTTTATTAGTGCATCAGCAGTATTTTTCCAAGTGAAAAACAGTTATTGGAAGACTTTAGTAGGTGCTAGAGTATTACCTTATTTTGTATTCATAATTTTGGCAGCTGATAGCTATGTTTATAAAATTTCAACCTCAAAAAGCGTTTATTTTTGTTTATGATTTTCTGCTGATACCCATTTTTCGATGCTACCCACAGTAAAATGGAAAACTACTGTAAGATAGTACAAAAAAGTAACCAAAAAATGACGTCTGTGAAGTCAAACTTCAACATTAAGAATTGAGGTTAGAAAAGTCGTCATTTTTTTGACGTTTGCGGAAAAAATAAATTTTCTAAGTAAAATTACGTCATCGTCGAAAAGTGAAACGTCAAAATCGTCCAAAATGTCAGAAGTTTAAAATAAGGGAAGTTTACTGCCTCGCACTAACTATACACAAATAAAGACAAGCAGTAGGTAACCTTATTAAGGGAATCCTTATTTTCGGACCAATTGCGTATGCGTAGATGTCAAAATAAGGCTAATTCAAATAGGTACTGCTTGTCCTTATTGCACGTCCAATAACTCTCTAATGTCAAAATAACGTAGGCGCTAATACTGCATGATACTATTTGGGTTACCGATATCTCTCATTGTATTATACAGGGTGTCTTCGTTCAACTGGTCAAAAATGCTAGGGTATATAGAGGAACCATAGAGAAGTAATTTGAGATAGGACACCGATGGTCGGAAGTGCGTCGTTTCTAAAATATCGGGTGTTGAAATTTAAACAACCCCCTTTCATATCATCTGAAGAGGGCTAATGCTAGGTTGTTCAAATTTTCAGAGATTATTGATTTAGGAATGATATTTAAAAATTCCTATAATGCACCCCCATTTTCTACCTGGAACCATCCCAAAAAAAACATAAAAAATAAAATTTGAAAAAAAAAAAACAATTTGTTGAAAAACAGAACAACGTAACAAAATTCAATGCGTTATTTTATACAGTTTCACTGAAAAAAAAATTGCCATTTTTCAAATGCTGCATTTTTTAACAGATCGACTTAAAAAAAATGTGAGTAGAATTTAGAATCTATTTCAAACCTTCAAACACAAAATACACAATACCATTTGAGACTTCACAAAGTTCACGAATTTGTCTATTACACCATTGAGAAAGAAGAAGTAGTAGTGGGTACTCTGATAATACAAAAAGCAAAGTACTACATGGACTAAAAACCTTCGCCCAATTATGAGGAATAAATGCCTACTAAAGATACAATTTATTATTGTACGGTAAGTACCATGTGTTTGTCTCCAAAACGAGGACGCAGGATCAAAGAGGATTCTTACCTAGACCCGAGCGATTGGATATAAACTGATCAGCGATCAGCCAACGCCGTTTTCAAGAGCAAAAAATTCAGATAAAATTCACTTGCTCAACCCTTCATCTACATGTGCTATATTTTGGCAGTAAGAACCCTACAATCACCTCTCTCTCACCAGATGATGCGAAATAAATATGAACTTTGAAAGGCTCTCACCTAACTACACCAACTTCTATATCCAGACTGGAGAAACAAACCAACAGGTGTTTGTGGAACCTTAAATAGCAATATAAATAAATAATATACTCTTGTCGAATTTTAAGTACTTTTATTTAATAAGCAATTCTCAAAGCACAAATGTCTTACAAAAATATTCTTTTATGACAATAATTATTATTTATTAGGCGCTGAAAGGGAATAAGTCAGATCAAATGCGATAAAAACAATGATATCCTGCAGATAAAAACGAAAGGACATAACAGTTTTTAAAATAATAACATTGAGAACCTAAGAGCTTGAACCCAAAGGAAAAAAATCTGCAAATATAATAAAATTGGGTTTCTACTGGGTAAAAATGTACAGCAAGCCTAAATCTTCTGCTCTGACTTTCTGAAAAAAATATCAAGTATAGAAATAATATCCTAAGATTTTTCACATACATTATTCTACATGTGATAAGCCCGCATTACATGTGTGTATTTTTCCATCTATTTAAACATAAAAAATACACGAATGTAAATCGGAAATATTAGCCATGTATTTGACCTTGGATTAAACCGTGTATAAATAGAACTTGTTCAATTTTCCATGTATTTTTTCGTATATTTCACTTGTACCTACGAACCAAAAACCTTTGTCAATTTTGGGCGGTTTCTTTCTGCTAATCAAAAAAAAAATGTTGTGAAAAACAGAAATTCATGAATTTGTACATGCATAAATACATGTAGAAATACACGAAAAAAAACACAGATGTAATACGGGCTATGTTTTGATCTTCGATACATTGTAACTAGGAATCTTTTTGGAAACGATTAAACCATTGCTCGTTGGGTCGTTTCTGCTCTGCCGAGAGATAAAAACAAGTTACTATAATTTTCTTCTTTAGATAGACAAGGGCTTTTGTGGAGCAAATATTAAAGGTTACATTTAGAAGAAACCTAAATGAGATTTTAATAGAAATTTTTCTTGCGCTTCAGATATTTTCTCCAGAAAAATTAATGAAAAAATAGAAAGAATTAGCTTGCTGTAATTTTTTCCTCAAACGTGCATTTTTACTACTAATATAAGCTATGAGCCTTGAGATAACAAGCTGTAAACAATTTCTAGCAAAAAAATTTGGAAATTTTTCAAAAAGCTCTATATCTATTTGAAAATATTTGCTATGGGTATAATGGTATGTAAATTTTCTACTGTTTAAAAAATTTAAACATACAATATTGTTATTCATTTGTGCGTGAATACTATTACAATAACATTTTTTAAATATGTATTAAATCTAGATTATTATTGACTACTTTATTAGAAGAGCTAAAATCAATATTCTAAAAACACTAACCATAATAATAAAATCTTAAAAAAAAAAACGGGAACAAAATAGGAAACAAATAAATAAATAATTTAGTAATATTGGACGTTAAAAATCATTAATTCTTCAGGATTTATTACCGTTTTCTAATACCATCAAGCATAAGTGCAAACAAAACTTTGTAGAAAACTCTTTTAAAAATCCTGAAGAACTTATTTGAATTATGTCGTCGTCCTTCTGTAAAATTCTATCCTCATCATCAAAATTCTTACAAAACAATAAAATTGATAAAGGATAGAAATATTTGTCCAAATTTTTTAGAAAAATATTTTCAAGAAGTAATACTGGAAGATTATGAGATAACCAAAATTCAATGCACTTCAACAAAATATTTTGCATTAAAATATGATTTTCGGAAATGTAAATTTTTCCAATATAAAACTCAACTATTCCTGAAGCCAAATCCAGTACTTCTCTGGCTTGTTTATTTTTGATTTGCAACTCTTGCTTTCGGATGCTTTTTTCCAGTAACAAATCTTTGTAACTTTCGTTCAATTTTGGTACCGAAGAGTCATATTTTTTTAATGAATGAACATAATTCGTTATGTTTTGACGCACATCAAATTCGCATGGGCTTTCTTGACCTCCTTCTTCACCAAATTGTTTTAGACTGTCCAAGGAAGAACTGGAACTCAGTATTTTTGCTGGCGAACTGCAACTGCTTGATTTTTCTTTGTCTAACTCTGTTTTAATCGTTTTTACAATTATTTCAATTCCCTGATCTTTTTCCTTGATGTCATACGAATCTTTGCACGTGAAAAGTGAGGCTAAATCTATTTCACTTTGGGAGATATGGTTTTCGAAAGCTTGTATGACAAATCCCAAACTATCAACATAATGGCCGTGAAACAACGATACTTTACTTGCAGCCTGAAAGTTTTTATATTCTATGCACTTTTTTAATATGTTCTCAACATCATAGAGATCAATAAAAGTTTGCAAAGCATAATGTACAGTTTTCTGGCCAATCAGAACATTTGGTAAACTATAGATATGACTGAAATCTTGCTTTTGAGTAACCTTTTGTTCCTTCAAAAATTTACTTCGATCTGGATTGTCAGGCATCAAAACGTTAAAGGGCAAAACCTTGTTACATAATAAAGCCTTGTGATTGGTTTGATTAAAAGTAAAAGCCATGGATGGCAAAACAGTGATTTCAATAGGTATATTATTTGATATCGGATGTTCATGAGGACTTTTATAGGTACGACGAGTGCCTTTTAAAATCATTGCGCGTTCGTCCTGTTTCTTTTTAATTTTGTCCACAGAGACACCCAGAATCGTCTGAAAATTGGAAAGAGAACATGTTTTAATTAATTATTGCAACTCTTCGCAATGCCTACCTCTATCATAGCCGGTGTTCCCCAAGCCAAAACCTGACCATTCTGATCTATAGCCATGGTATAGTCCAGTCCGCAAGACACATGTGTAAATCTATGGCCCATATTACCTTCGTAGTGATCTCTTACATTTGGTTGACACAATACTTCATCCTTATTTTTGCCCCACAATATGCGTCCTTGGTCTAGTATGGCACAGTGACGTTGGCCTGAAAATTAGAAGGAATCTATGGAATAAGTTTTGCGGATTAAGGGGTATCATCAGCAGTGATTTTTTTGGTTAAACTTTTCTCCGTTAATATGCATAATAAAAAAAAATGCTTCATGTAAAAGTCATAGGAAATTACCTAATTTAATTGATCATTAGGTCAGAATTTTCAAATTCTAAATTTTAGTTTTTTTTTGCTTGAAAAAATGCAAATTTTAAATTTGGGCCTAGTCACGTGAAAGGGATAATGAATTTAGATATACAGTCAAAAAATAAAAAATATAGAAAAAATGGTTTGTCCAAAAAGCTTCGTCAAAGTATTTGGCCAAAAGTACGTTGATGCGATGCTACCGCGATCAAATAATCCCTTACAATAAGTTCTTTTGACAAACGCTGGCAACGATGCATAAGATGAGAGGAGCTCGGCAGCAGGCAGGCAAATAAAATTCGTCCTTTTCTAGGTTCTAGCGTTGTTCTAGCAATCGAGAGTTCTGGGAATCATCAAATTACCACAAGAAAAGGGTTTTGCATGTGTGTTATGAGATTATTTTTATTGGGGCTTATTGGTTCATGGTTTATTCTAGCGATTATACAACTCACTGTACATTTTTCCCATATGACACGAGAGGCTCAATAAGTGATAAGCCTTGGGTGATAAGCCTTGGGATTATCGCGCTTGGTGGCATTTGGGATTATCGCGCTTGGTGGCAATGATTATAGCAAATTTTATTATAGATTTTTTTTTGTTTCATCTCTTTCTTATACAAGCTAGTAGAAAAAGACAAGAATAAGCTCAGTGCGCACTAACGCTTTCAATAGAATTCGCTATTACTGTCACTTGGGGGATTTGCTAAAGCCACTGTTGCTTGGTAACGCATAATCAATTTTTTATTTAAAAAAAAAATGTCAAACCAAATTAGATTTGGAAAAGTTTCTTTGCCCGATGTGGACGAAAACATAAGAAATTTAAAGCCAAAAAATACCGAGAAGTCGGACAAATATGTTTGGAAGCGATTCACGGAGTTTTGTCGTGAAAAAAAACACCACTTCGAAAGTATGACGCCAGAGGAAGAACTATCAAAAATACTGAAGGACTGGGCGTACAACATGCGCAAAACAGATGGAAGCAATTATAAAGAAGGTGTCATCAAGCTTCTTTGGAATAAAACTGCTAAAATGCTACAAAACCTTTACTTTAAAAAGCATAATCGGCGCATAGACCCTTTCAATGATCAAGTTTTTCAAGAGGCCCGAAATGCTAGGAATGCCAAGAGAAAAGAACTCCAACAAGTGCTCAGTGCCCGGAAAGTGAGCTCGACAGCTTTAACAAGACCAGAAATTGAAAAAATGGCCTCAAATTCGAACGAAAACACTCCCGATGGACTTCAAAAAAAGTTTTTTTTTATTGCTGCATCCGAATTGGCATGGCGTGGTAACGAAGGTGCTTTTTGCGAGGTGGAATTTTTCAAACAGGAAAGGCACAATGACGGGTCGCTTACCGGTCGCCTGGAATATAATCCTATATTTACCAAAACTACTCAAGGAGGCGCCAATAGAGTATCAGAAAGTAAGTGGCTGGTAAAAAATGTTTTACATCCTGATTTCTGTCCAGTTCGACTTTTTTTAAAATTGATGTCTAAGAGGGGGACGAACATTCAAACAAATAGACTATTTTTGACTGCTAATAAAAATTGGAATGCTAGCGCTCTATCTCCTTGGTACAAAAACTGCCCAGTTGGCGTTATTACTGTCAGTAAATGGACGGAATTGGGTACAAAAAGCAGCGGATTAGATACCAACAACAAAAAATTCACAAATCATTCTCATAGAGCCTCAGCTGTGAGCACACTCACTAGTTCTGGTGCAAATCTTCAAGAGGTTATATAAATGACTGGACATAGCTCTATAAACTCCGTGACGCCGTACCTCCAGCTTACTGAACAACATCATAATAAAATTATTTCGAACATGAGGGAAGAACATGGAGCATCCACTTCTGACAACAACCAACCCATCAGAAGTTCTGTAGAAAATCAAACAGGAATTAGCAATATTTATTATAATAATTGTTCATTTATTATTAATAATAATAAAAATTAATAAAGTATTAAAGTTTAGTTCGTTGTATAACCTTTTGAATACCACTCGATGTTTCAGGATTACCTAATACTTCTACCTGACACTCAACGCGTTAGCAGCAACACCACTCCTCCTTCGGAGTCGTGGTGTTGCTGCGTAACGCGTTTCGTGACAGGTAAAAGTATTATCCGGTAATCCCGAAACCTCTTGTGGTATTACATTCGATAATATGCAAAATCTAGATTTTTTACTCAGAAAGATTCAACTAAAATGATCAGTTGACCACTTTTCGACATTTTGTTCTTCTGAAATCCGCATTTCTTTAGTTTAGTAGGTAGCTTGGCTATTGATTTAGCCATTTTCGAAATAAAGTCCAAATAAGCCAAAAACCGACTATTAATTAAAATCCTTGATGTTTTGATATAAGCGTAATTTTCTAAATCAAAAAATGGCATTTTTTTGGACATGAATAGCGCATCTGGCCATAATTCAAGTGACTATACAGGGTGTTTCAAACATCAATAAGAATATTTCAATGAGTGATAGTTGGGGACGGGGTGATTCGGGAACTGTTTGCCATATTTACCCTGATACAAAGTTTCGCCGTTTTTTGAGATATCCCTATTTTTAGATATTTTGAATCCATGTATTTTAACACATAACTTGGGCTACATATTTTTTGTGTCAATTATTCGGTTTTTCCGAAAGAGTGCATATTAGGAATATCGGAAAAAAAATTGGGAAAGATGAAAGTCAAAAAAACGGTTTGTTTTAGGAACAATTCAAATATTTCCTAAAAATATTTAAAAATGCTGATATTTCAAAAACGACACGATACTTTGCATAGGGGTAAATGTGGTCAAACAGCTACCAGATGACCCCAACTATCACTCATTGAAAACTTCCTATCGATGTACCAAAGACTTTGCATATCTTACCATCAGTTTTCGGAATCTCGATATCATTGTATCAAGACTGAAATTTTAAACAATCTGTACATAAGTGATACTACCTACTAATGGAATTTCAACATTATAGTGTCATGAAATATTCGCCTTTATTTTTTGGTTGTTCTAGTTATTTTTTTGAATAAACCTGTTTTCAATTTCAACACAGTTTCTTTGTGAATTTATTTTTCCACCGTTTTTCAAAAAGTGTTGCCAATGCAAAAATATGGTCTAGTGGCAAGCGCTCCGGTCGACTATGCTCGAAAGGCGCGCCGTCGAAATAATTTTTCACTGATGATACCCCTTAACATAAATAAGTGCAAGCATAAGGAAAATTAAATTGAATTGCCACTGGAAAAATATTCCTCTACTATGCTTTTTTTTGTACAGGATTCAAAAAATTTGGAACATTAATATTAGGCTTGTGCAATTAGTGCCAATAAGGAAATGAGATGCCCTGAAAAAAAAACACACACACACACACACAAACTGTGTTGAATTCAACGCTCAAAACTTTGTTCAGATAGATCAGAATAGGAACACTTCGCGTTTGTCTGCCTATCTCTAACTCATTTGAAATGCCTTGCTTGTGACAGTGATGAAAATAACATGCCACCTCGGACAAACTTCAGCCAACCAATCGATTAAGCACACGCTGTGACATTTCCATGAAACTTCACTTTACAAAAAGTGTGCTGTTGACAGAAGCTGTTTTTAATCCTGCGTGATGTAATGTATCTAAGTTCTGATTCAAAGCAAAATATTGACAAGAAATAACTTCCATTCTGGCAAAGTACGCGGAGAAGAAATTTGAAAATTGAATATGGAATATGTTCAAAGATTTTTGAATTAAAATGTATTTTAAATTTTTTATTGGGTAGTCAGTTTTGTTACTCACCGACAGATATCTGCCTTATCGGTCTTCTGGTTCGAGAATAATACATTTGAACGGTCGATTTCCACGTTTCACAATGTATTTCGCTGCTTGCGTTGTGTTGCCTTTGGCTCGATCTTTGCTGAAAACTTCTTATTTCCTCGGGGCTTGCGCCCCACATAAACACTTTCTGGTCAGCGGTTACGGCCATCTACAATTTATTTTTGTATTACCTTCATGTAAATAAAGTTATGATATGCTGTTACATTGTGAAAGTACGCAGTAGCAATTTTCTCCACAGGAACATACATATCAGGCATAAGCACTATCCAAGTAGGTCTAGTAATCTTTTTGGAGTCAATAGGGGAATTACTATCGAGTTGCGCAAAAGCGTTCGAGCCAAAGCCGTAAACTTTGCCTTCACATGTCAATACAAGGCTATGTGCATGACCTAAAAAGATCAAATTTATTATTAATAAATGTGAAGTTAGCATAATTGTTAACGTACCTGCTGCTACTTGCTTAACTGGATGGTCAAACTCGACTAGTCGGGGATAATATTCATTGTCACTACGTCCATGACCAAGCTGTCCATGGATGCCCCAACCCCAAGTATAAACTTTTCCAGAGTGGGTAAGTGCTATGCTATGATATTGACCTAAACATATTGATACTTTAACATAAGGTACAAAATGATAAATGTAAAAAGTTACCAGCAAAAATATCAATAATTTTCAAATGTGAGATGGCCTTGATTACTTGCGGATATGGAGTGTCTTGCAAATGAGGCCCTAGGCCTAGTTGTCCGTAGCTGTTTGAACCCCAAGCAAAAACCTGAAAATGCAGATTTAAAAATAAATAAAAATCTGATATTTTTGAGAACATTTTGAAAATTGTTGCATGCCAAGATTTTGATCAAAGGATAAAAATAAATATCGCTACAAATATATCTAAAGGCATCACCAATAAAATAACAGGAGAGATGATCAAAGTGACACAAGGTAATGAAATATGCAAAAAATATATCAGAAAGATGTTCTGAAAACTAGCAAAAACCATTGATGATATGAATTATGTATATAGGAAAGGAAACAAAACAGAATGTAATACCTATTACTTTAAAATAAAAATGACAAGCGTTGTAAGTTTGGAAAGAGCCCAGGTGATTCTTGCAATGGAAAATTTGTCGATTCTGTAAAACTTTGTATTGGCAAACTCTTTCTCTTTTTCTTGTTTCTTGTTGCCCTTTTCGAAAGAAATTAAGTTTGTTTGATGTGCCTTTTTTTAAAAGGATTTATTTCTGACCTCGAATCAATTGATGATTGTGAATATTAAATGTATAATCGTCTCTCAATAATCGTTCCATCACTAGTGGATACTAGTTTAGAAAAAATAAATAAATTGACAGGGGGCCGAAAGGGATAAAAATAGGAGTAATCAATAATTACAGCTGAGAACAAGGATGGTTCTCTCAGCTCAAGATAATAAATAATTTTTTTAATAATTCAAACAGGGCCTTTTCGACTTATCTTGCAGGCATTTATCCCGTGATATCAAGTTTTGTCCAAGCAACAAGTTTTTATTATCATGAGTCTGCAATCTTATCCTAACAGAACATTTCTCAGGGTAACCTTCTATAAATAAATAAAACTTTACTCACTCCAGAATCCGTGGCACACAAAGTATGTTTTCTTCCGCAACTAACAGACAACGGCGTTACTTTCAACTCATGGAGGGTATTAATCAGTCTTGGCCCACTTGTATTGGTTAACATTGGACCAGTACCTAAACATCCAGACGTAGCAACTCCCATTGTAAATACACAATTATTTCTTATAACGGCAGCATGCTCATAGCCACAGCTTAACATTTTCAATTCTGGGAGTACATCTATCACATCAATAAGTTCTTCACTTATTACAGGTACCATTAAATCTAGTAAACGTATATCAAAACTGGAAATACATTTTTAGTAAATTATAGCATTAATAGACTCCAATTCTTACCTTCTAAAACTACTACTATCAAATCTACCAGTTAAACTTAATATCACATAAAGGAATGTTTCAACCAAATCTTTCATAACTACAGTGCGACTATCAATAGTTTCATAATCAAATGATTCAACATTTGTGTCTGTAGCTGAATAACTTGTGGTGGTACTTTGGAATATGGCTTTCATAAAAGGTATTGCACATGGTTGACTAGGATCCAGTTGAATCGTCAATCTCTTGAGTATTTCCAAGGGAAAACAGTCCACGTTTTCACGGATATATTCAAAAATGATCTAAAAAAATATTTTTTTATATTTTTAAAAAAAAATTCACCCCTTTCCCCAAATGTAGGGTGTAGCTTGTTTTGATAATTTGAAACTAATGTTTAACAACAACAAAAATCACATTTGTGTGTATTTTTTCTCACAGTATTCTCATCATAAAAACATCTTTATCAAAATACAAAACTACATGTGTGAAATCAAATTTTTTACAAGTGAAAAGAATATTACAACTTAGCAAATTGAAAACGGCCCCAAACGTCTCAAAATTGTTATAAAAAAGTATCTACCTGTGAACAGTGAGGTAAAGTCAACAAACTTTGAGTTAGAGTTGGCTCAGAGAGTGCATATAAAAAGTCCAAATTGGATGGTCGAGGATAGAAATCGTTCATAAGAATTTTAGTAAAAGCCACAACAGTTTCTGTAGACAATCCTCTAGACTTGGACAAGAGATTCACAATATTCCAGTGTCCAGCCTGGCAGGTCATGTTTACAGCTAGAATTGGGTCAAAGTGAGCATCATGAACTAGGAAATTCCTAAAAAAAAAAGAATATTAAATTAAATAACCATCAAAAAAATGAAGCACTAAAATGTATAAATTTAACATTGGGTTATTTGAGAACAAAGATGCCACACAAAAAAATTATTTTCAGTTTGTATCAAAAAGGGGACTTACTGATCAAGTGATCTGATAACGCAGCCATACGCACACATTGAAACCGGCCTCAAAAGCTTTTCGTTTATGTCAGAGACATTGAGATTCATGTGGCGTCCCAGATCAGATGTATTCAGAAATAGAGGAAGAACTTGTTTCACAGGCGGCATTAAAAGAATCTCTGGAAGCTGGATATTGGTTGGTCACGATAGAAGAGAATGACAAAGTTTCAGAGAGGCTTTTGTCCAGCAGTGGACAGGAGGGGCTGGCGGTGATATTGATTATTAAAATTTTACAAAAGTATTCGTACTTTTTCTCCAATTGCTAATTATTGTTCAGACAGGTGGCACTGCTTCAATAGTAAAGCTTTAAACTTAGATTAGCCAAGTTTAATGATAATTTAAAAATATATGTAGTATTATTGAAATTCTGAAGACAGTTTATTGATGCAATTTTATAAAATTATTCGGATTGATACTTGGGCATTGAATTTGATAAAACTAAAAAAAAAACGGTACTCACATAAAATCTTTGGTATTGTTCCCTTTAATTTGTTCACTGTTGGTACTTCTAAGCAACAGTTCAACATAAGCCATAACGGCAACGTTGCCAATATGAATTCGAGTGGTTAGATTCATGTCAATTCTGCTGGCACTGAGGCACAAGTGTACAAACTTGAGGAGAGTTTTGCAGTCTGACGAAACTGACAATTTTAGTACACGCTTTAGTAAGTGAACTTTGGCTTGTTTGTAGAGAATTATGCCTGGAAACAAATTGATAGTGTGTACTCACGAACAGAAATTATTTGGTTTATTTATCGAAAATATCTCTTCTATTAAGAGAAAAATCTCAAAGCAATTTTAGTCTTGTCCAGGGAAAACTTCAGTAAGATGTGCAATAGATTTATTCATTTTGGAGAGATGGAGAAAGTTCAAACATACATACATTGTGATTTTTGTCTTTATCACATATTATTTAGATTGATGAATTACAATAATTATCATTTACGAACTCGTTCTACTATTTCATCATCTGTATGATTTACAACTTGTTCATTTCTCAACTATATAAATTCCCGACCTGTTCCCTAGTACTCCACTGACTTATATGCCTTTTCAATCTGCCTAAAATTGTCTAGACATTTCTCTCGATCATTCGATAATTTTTGTAGATGATCAGGCTCCCCATATCATATTGTCAGATTGTGCACTTCCCCCCAATTTTGGTCAAATGTAAATTTTTGAATGTAGCGCTACATGTGATTTATAACATGTTGCAAAGAGCCAATGTAGTTTCTTAATTATGTAACCCAAACAAAAGGTGTTTATATACAGATGTACCAAATTTTGATCCGAAAGCAGGACATATTGATGATGATATTTTGAGTTAGTTAAGTGCAATACGTACATTGGTACCAAGTTCTTGCTTGAATAAAATGGAAAAAATATATTATGTATGTTATATGATTAGTTTCCAAAATCCTTCAGAATTTGAAACCGTTTTAAAATGTCCTTACCCGAGTGATATGATCCTCGTGAAATCAATAAATCCCCACAATGTTCCAATAGCTGTTGCAAATTAAGATTGAAAATATACGATAATTTTTCAGCCTTCTCGAGATCATTTTCTTCAGTTACACAGTCTATAAATCTTTGAACTGGTTGATACCTATGAAACAATTTTTTTTTTGTAGATTATTATTATTAGACACCAAAAAAAATCACCTAGCTTACCTTACAGAAATTTTATAAACAGTTTTTGTAGTCACTATAATACAGGTATCAATTGCAGGCTTCAAGAACGATGCATCGCCCTTATTCTTATGATTTAGAAATTTATTTTTCAAATTGTTTTTATGTGAAGTTACATCAAGCGACATGTCGATCACTTTGAAAAAATCAATAATCTCTTCATTATCTATCATAAATTGGGCGACTAATGAATCTTCGTTGAATTCTGTTTCTCCTTCCAAACGAGATTCTGCTAACTGACAACTAATAACCGAAATAACATTTATGTCTCGGTTTAATGTGTAAATTAAATTGTCCGTTAAAATTAAGCAGTGGGTTCTTGGCAAGACTCTATACACGAAAACGGGCGCTGTTTCGAAATCGGCCGCATGGATCTATAAGAAATAGATACTATAAAACATCAATCATATATTTACTTTGATAAAATTTACTGTCAAAAGTCCAGTTGGTCTGTACAAAGCAGAAAAAAAACTTCTGTTCCTGCATGACTGTGGCGTAAAAAACGTATCAACAAAGTGTGGCATCAGTTCTGGCTCGGAACTTGATAGATGAACGTCATTAGAATGTTTACTACCATAACTTTTCAAAGAACCATTTAAATCAGCAGATGCAGAAGCTGCCGATTGGCACGTTGAAACTGTATCTTCATTCAAACTGGTCGCTGATAATACCAGTTCAGAAAATGAAGAGTCACTTGCTGAGTCACTTTGGCTATCCTTTCGAGAGTTACCCAAACGTTGTCTGAAAGAGTTTTTTTCAACTTTTATTTATAAATAAAATGCTTTTTTTTACCTGAAGGAAAAAAATGTATCGACACCAATTTGCTTAAGAGTATTAAACTTAGATTTCACAGATTCTTCAGTATTTGAAGATGATATATCTGTAGGCCAAGTATATCCATTAGAATGATGTTCTAAGACTAACCTCCATTGACGTTCAGAATCACTATTAACCTGAAATAATAAAACTGTTTTTATGTCATTCATTTTGTAAGTAATGTCTGTATTTGCTCAAATGTTTATCAAATCTGATAGTTTCCTAATAGTCAGAAAAAAATATATTGGTTTTTTATTGCATAATGTAAAGTTTTGTTAACATAGGTATTAGATTAAATAAAGATTTTATAAGCATGGTATCTTGAACAGTCTGCCTAGTTAGTTGAGACCAATATCCAAAAAAAGAAGCTTTGTTAGTAAATATATGTACCTATATGTATAAGTAATTATCTACTCACCAATAACGACACAGTCTCTTTCACATTATCCAAACAAACATGTAATTGTCTAACTCTTTCAGGTATGTGGCATCTTCCTAATACTCTACCATCAGTCAAACTGACCAGCAATATCTTGCCACTATCAAAACCAATCAATGCGTTTTGGTTGCATTCTAGGGTTTGCCACCAAACACAACACGTCGGCAAAGCGTTTGTAGTTTCTGATGATTTTGGAAAAGCTGTTATGTCTGTTAATGACCATTTGCAATCGATTTTTTGTTTTTTGTCAACTATGTAGAGAGCCGGAATAATGTAGAGTGAACTGTCCAAACCTGATGAATAATTTTTAATTAACTACTTATACATATAAAACAATAAAAATGTATCAATAAAAAAAATTATCGTTTTTGAATTTCACCTAAGAAGGCTATTTATTTTTTGCATAGCACTCGACTTTCAACCAAAAAGTAGAAGTGAGTACTAGCAACAGTATTCTCTAGATTTATACCATGTGAAGCTATAATTTATAATCCTACTAGGAAAATTTTATAAAGGATTTACTCACATGCTGCTAACAGCCAGGTTGCAGTCGGATCAAAACAAACAGCTTGAATTTGCTTGCTACTATCAGATATCCAAGGAATCCTTTTAACTACAGGGGGTAATTCTCCATAACAATAGTGGAGTGCTATATCATAATCCCTGGAAACAATAATAATTATAATTACATTTCTAGAACTTTGAAAGAAAAAATGAAAGTTAGAGGTTGATTTCAAGTAAATTTAGGAATAGACACTGTAGTTATTATTACTTATATTAAATCTTTTTTATTTTACTCAGTAGTCAAAATTAGATAAATTATTATGGTATTTTCTTGTTTCATACACCGAATTAATTAACCCATTTGTGCCTTTCACTGACCACTGAGATGGCCCAAAGGGGCTAGGTATAGGTAAAGCAGGAACCTCAATAGGTAGGTAGCTGGCTCGGTAGCTGGTATAATATGGGTTAATTTTAGCAGTTAATTTTTTTGCAGCAATTAAGTCTTGAACAGTTTGGTTTCAACATTTAAAAGCAATAAATGGATCCTTCAACGAGTAAAGGTAAAAAATAATATTTGACTTTTTATTTTCTGCATTATGTGCGTGTTTGTTTTTATTGCATTTAGATTTTTTTTGACAGTTTTAGCAGCCATTTAAATTCTGTTATTTTTTGTCAGGTGTCACAAATCAGCCAATCATTTCAATTTAACTGATAACAACATTTAGGGAAGTTTTCAATCACTATGTCGGCCAGATAATGTTTGACAAAAAAATTTCTGATTGAATATCTCTCTGACATTGACAGATGCCTCATAATTTTATGTCAAATTTCTCAAGTAACTTTCTTGTATCACGGGGAACCCTTGAAACCGTCGGGCAGAAGAAAAATGAACCTTGATATAGACGTCTTGAATGAAATTCGAAATGCAAAATAAATACCAACCTTAGAGAAAATTTTGGCAGTCATAACACAAGATGGATGATGACATACCAAATATAAGTAGGAGCAAGCCCTGGAATACCTAAAGGGTTGGGTTTTAGTTTTGAAAGACACGGAAGGAGAGACTACTTGAAATTTTTTTTAAGGTATAGTGAAGAAAATAGGGATTTACTATTAAAACAATATGGCAAGATAAAAATGTTAAAAGTTCTCGTCAACCTTTTTTAAAATGATGGTCAACTGGTATAACTCCATCAACAGGAAAGGGAAAAAGACTAATCATTACCCATATCAGCAATGAGAATGGGTTTTTAGAAGGTGGATTGCTGCCACCCTTTATGTTTATATCAAACCGTACTGGCCATTATCATAACGATATGACTGCCCATGTGTTTGAGGAATACTACGAGCAGATTGGACTAAAACATACCTTTTGAATAAAATATGGTGAAAAAAGATTTGCTTGCAATAGCGGAGTCATATAGATATTCCAATTGTATCGTAGATGAATTGTCCAAAAAACCGGGAATAATATTGTTCTCGGGTCATCCCTTCACCATTGCGGAAAATTTGTTCCACAAGGCCATTCAAGAAGTAGATGCTGATAAGTAGCAGAGATGTATTAACACGTTAATCGCCATGACACCCTACATTTGGGTTTCAGAGCTTCTGGTCAACCAGGCTCTGAGACCTGTACGTAGGGTGTCACCATGCGCGTACACTTTACAGCCTGTGACCCGGCTCTTGGGCTTCAAATAACATTGCAATATATGGAGTTTTTGTCAGAGGGGCCTGGGGGACCCCACTAACGTTTGAGCCTAGGATTTTTTGTCATATTTTTCTGTAGAACCACATTTTATTGATTGTAGGTGAAGGCATGGATTACCAGAACAAAATTATTTATCTATGATTAGTGATGTAATATTTCCGAAATTTATTTTTTCTTCCGAATATTTCCGAAATATTCGTATTTTAGTGAAATTTATTGAAATTTAAGGGAACATTCAATTTTTTTCACTGTAAGTGTGAGGTGAGGAACTGTTTTAAAATAAAGTCAAGTTTATATAAGGAGATATATTCTGTTAAAAAATGAACTTGATATGCTTTAAGAAAAGAAAAATTATTTTATTAACTAAACATGTAGCACTTCGTACACTGGTAGATATATCTTTTTCTCCTTTTTTTAAACATTTAAAGTGATCCTGACTCGACACTTTTGTTAAGACACTGCATCGGTGTTTCCCCGCAACGAAATCATAATTAAACTGCCACAGATCTTTCCTTCAAAACTAAACATGCCCATACGCCGTTGATATCGAGGTTAGGGCCGGTTTCTTAATAGCAACTGGACACGTTTAACCTGGAGTTAAAACTAACGGAGGTGACTCGCTACTGAGAAATCGGCCCTTAGAGGTTAGTCTGACACCAACGCGCCGCTGTTTAGGTGATCCTGTGCCTCTGTGGTGACACAAATCCGAAAATTCCCGAAATTTCCGTAATTTATGGGAATTTTCTAGTTGAAATATTCGCTACTCACATCACTATCTATGATAAACCAAAATAACGTATAAAATAAATAATAATAATAATAATAATAATAATAATAATATTTATTATCTCCAGAAAAATTACATTCTTATATTTGTCACAGTCAAAAAACAGGACAGACAATAGAAAAATTCACACTGTATGTAAGAAAATCTTGACTCTGGTCCTTTGCTTTGAGCTACTTTTCTGCCTTGTTCAGCACTTAATTTTTCGTAGCAGGACACACATTTTCTACTATCCAATATTGATGCACGTAGTAAACAAGCTTAGGCTTGTATCTTTGAACACCGCTAGTTGGGTTTCGGGGCTCACACCTAGAAGGGGCCCCGAAACCCAAAAGCCGGGTTTCATTTTCAAAGTAATATTTTCGGTTCTTTTTAGGTAACATATGGAAAAAAATACAAATATATGCGATTATTGTGTATTATTCATCAATTGAAGAAATAATTTTATCTGGGCCTGTCAAAACTTTTTTTTAGGTTCCATTTGGGCGATTAACGTGTTAAGCATGTTCCTCAGCGAGTCCCGGAAAATTGTTCGAAAATAATTGTTCGAAAATAATTGTTCGAACGGAAAATTCTTCGAAAGGAAAATTGTTCGAACGGAAAATTATTCGAAAAGAAAATTTTTCGAAAGGAAAATTGTTCGAACAGAAAATTGTTCGAAAGGAAAATTGTTCGAAGGGAAAATTGTTTGAGAGGAAAATTGTTCGAATGGAAAATTATTCGAATGGAAAATTGTTCGAACGGAAAATTGTTCGAAAGGAAAGTTGTTCGAATGGAAAATTGTTCGAAAGAAAAATTGTTCGAATGGAAAATGGTTCGAATGGAAATTTGTTAATAAATGTACTTATACGCCTCGGAAACGTAAATTCACCAAAAACGTGAAAAACCTTTTTTAAATAGGTACAACAGCTCGAAATTTCAATTATTTTTGAATCTCCGATTGCTTGTTTCGCTCACCCAATCTCAAAGAGAAGATCCGCGGAACCGTAAATTCAGCGTTGGTACAAAAGAGCGCAGCTCAAAACCGAGCGGACAAAAGGGCGCAGGTCAAAATATTATTGGCAACCAGTACACTTCTAATCAGTATTAAATGAATTGTAACGAAACTAACCAAAAATATGCTAACTAACCCGTCCACGTAATGCGTGCTAGTCCTTGTATGTTATTATTAAATTTAAAAAACCAAGCGCCTCCTATTGTCAAGCAGTACTCTTTTAACCAGTATTAAACGAACCGTGACGAAACTAACCAAAAATATGTAAACTAGCCCAAACTAACCCAAAAAAATGCAAACTAACCCAAATTAACCTGTCCACCTAATGCGTGCTAGTCGTTGTATATTAATATTGAATTTAGAAAACCAAGAATTAAGAATCAGGGACAAATATTAAGAATTAAGGAATTGGGTAACTCCGGCCATAGATTCATTGACGATTCACAGTTAAACTATTGATTTTTCGGAAAAAAAAAACAATTTTCCGTTTTAACAATTTTCTTTCAAACAATTTTCCGTTCGAATAATTTTCCGTTCGAACAATTTTCCGTTCGAACAATTTTCTGTTCAAATAATTTTCCGTTCGAATAATTTTCCGTTCGAACAATTTTCCATTCGAACAATTTTCCATTCGAACAATTTTCCGTTCGAACAATCTTCCGTTCCAACAATTTTCCATTCAAACAATTTTCCATTCGAACAATTTTCTTTCGAAAAATTTCCTTTCGAACAATTTTCCGTTGACGTTCCTCAGCATGTTTTTAGCATGGAGAATTTTTTTTGGAAACTGAACAATTTAATTGAGGCAACATTTGAACCGAGATTTGATTAATGTAAATGATGACAGTTCTTCAGAAGAATAATTTATCAGTCCCTAGAAGTGTTATATTCTATTTTTTTTTGTAAATGCACTTTGAATAATTGAAAATAAAACCTGTTTTTTAGTTAAGTACGAGGGTTGTTTCACGATCAGCATTGGTGTACAAATTTACGGCATTGAATAGATAAATGAGGGAAATTGAGGCAGTGATCGCGAAATTGGCGGCATTGAATTGATTTCGGAATTGACGAGATTGATGTCAGAATTGACGGCATTGATGTCAGCATTGACAGCATTGATTTCGGAATTGACGGCATTGATTTTGGAATTGACGGCATTGATGTCGGAATTGGCGGCATTGTGTCGGAATTGACGGCATTGATGTTGGCATTCTTGACATTGATGGCGACATTGTCAGAAATGTTCGCAGCAATCGCCATAGGCATTGACTAGGCAGTGTTATTAAACATTGCCTAACTTAGGCAGTGGTGTACACATTTTTGAGTAGGTGAAACACCCCTCGGTTAAGTATGTATTTGTACTTTTCAAAATCTGCTACCTGCGCCGATACCTATGCCCATGAGTAATATAATTTACAAAAATATGCCTGATAAAACCCAAAAACCCATTGTTTGGAGAGGGAATTTTATGAGTGGACGGCTGCTTGAAGAAGTATGTGAAACCTGTTTATGTGTGGACGAATGCGGTTAATGCAACTCTTATTACTTAATACTTAGGTCCTTCTATAAGGGGTATAAGGGATTAAAATTTGGTAGGTTTGATTTATTGTACCCAATCATTCAAAAATTAGTAGCTATAGTATTTATGAGTAGGCAGATATTTAGCAAAACATCCTGCGAAAAATTAACTATGTAAAATGATATGATGTTTATTTATAAACAAACCGTTGTAGGCGCACAATATGTATTTCTGTGATCGTGATCAGACTATACTCAAATTATCTCCTCTGAAATTAATACCCATATAAGCATAAGCATACCGCAATAGCCTCCAAGCAAAACAATTCTGATAGAATTGAATCTAGAGAGTTTTTCGAGGAGTTTTGGTAGCGAGCACTATAAAAATCAAAATTACTTGAAATTAGTTGTTTCTTTTTCATGGCAAAAATACCATCTAAGGGACGGACAAAAGATGTATAGCAACTGTTCAAGTATCTTCACAAGTCTATAAAAAAGGTAATTTTGGTTTAAAACAGCCAAAAATAATCAATGAATACATTCCATTTAAATTGAATAACTTAGTGGTATCTGGCCACTTGCATACCTACGACAAAAAGTTAACTAGTAGGTAGGGTAGGGACACACAAGATTAGGACTTCACTATCCGCATATCAAAGTTATGTTATGATTATTGAAAAGAACTTACTCAGTAACTAAAGCAAGAATCTGTTTAACTCCATTACGGTTTTGTGCACACACTTTAATGCCTATTGATTTTATTAGAGGTTTTAGCTCAAAAATTTCCTGAGTGAAAAGTTGAGCCATTTTAAGTCAACCTTTCATCTATGGCTCTCACACTCACACTACACTATTAATTATTACAACTACATACACTACTAAAAACACTAAAGTTGGAGTCCACAAAAATAAACTTTTTGGGCTAGAGATTTTTGAGCCAATGCAACCAACGCAATGCAAACAAAATGCACCAAAATGCATGAAAAGAGCTGCGTTCGAGAACCTGGTGTGTTGTACATTCCCGAATAGAGTGAAATTTAAGCCAAGCTGACTCCATTAGGTTATTTGTGTGATTGTTATTGTTATACTCATAATTAACTGATGCTAACCAAACCACGAACCACTCGGAAATTAAAAAATCAAACATCTCTCCCTCAAATGTTAACTTTATAGGTTGTTTGTTTGTGTCGCACTAACTTGAACTGAACGCAAAATATTTCAGGTGTGTGACGTCACCAGCTCAATTAACGCTCGTCTATTCTTTGCCATTAACAGAAACGAAAGCCCCAAAGCAGGAAGTGCTGCTTTGAACAACATAAAAAATTAAACCTCTTGATTGCACCAGTGCATGTTCTTTGATCTGAATAAGGGCCGGTTTCTCAATAGTTTTATTTCCTTCACACTTAGGAGGAGCTCTGGAACAGCTCCGGGGCGATACGCGCGTATTCCTTTCGAAAAGTGTTTGTGGCACCAAGTGCTCAAGCCCTACTCGAACCGTTTAAATGCGCAAAAGCCAGCGCATCTGTTCCTTTCAAATCGGGGTCGACTAAAGCTTTATTCTCACTTGCGCGAAATTCGCTCTTTTTGACATTGCTTCGACAATTTGACGTTTGATATACGCATTATACGTCAAATTGTTGAAGCAATGTCAAAAAACAGCGAATTTCGCGCAAGTGAGAATGAGGCATAACACCGGGGCGAGTAGCTCTAGTTGTCAGAACTCTTGAAAGAAATATGACAGCGAATCACCTGGTTAGTTTTAACTCCAGGGTAAGCGTGTCGAGTATGTCCAGTTGCAATGTTTACCCTGGAGCTATGCTTAACCCGCAGGTGACTTGCCATTTGTTATAGTGATCTAAAGATATGTACTTTCTGCCCTGTCCTTCCAGAAAAATTGACAATTTATAAGAAAAAATAAAATTCAGGGTCTAGGGTTCAACTTCATTTTTTGAAAACTTAAATTTCGAATCTTTTTCATTTTAATGTTTTTGAATCAAAATTTTAAGCACGAATAGCTTCTTTCTTTGAGACAAAAAATGCAGACTTACCCAAACTAACCTCAAGAACTAACCTGTCCATCTAGTTGGATCTTGTTCTCATAAGTTACCTACCATTTTATTAGAAAAAAAAAGTTAATTCAGTTTAGAGCATAGCGTTTCTCGAGCGCGCTTTGTATTTCAAATGAAATGCTAGTTTAAAGGACTAATGCCTCATTCTCACTTGCGCGAATTTCGCTCTTTTTGCGCGAAATTCGCTCTTTTTTTGACATTAGCCGCTTTCCAGCCGTGTGCTTCAAGCACGGTGCAGCAGAGTGTTCTGTGTTTGAAACGCAAAAGTTAGCAGTTCTCGAAGCGCAATAGGGCTGGAACACGGACACGCGCTTGAAGCATTTGCGCACACTAGCATCGATTAAAGGCGATTAACCGGTCGGTCATAGTTGACAGATAACCAATGAAGCAAACGTCATTTGTCAACCAATCGGTTATAAATGACATTAAATGCATTGTTCATCTGTCAATATAACCGAATGGTTAATCGCCTTTAATCGACTTTTAAGCTCGATTGCGTGCTAAAAATGGTCAGCTGGAAAGCGGCTATTGCTTTGACAATTTGACGTTTAATGCGTGTATCAAACGTCAAGTTTTCGAAGCGATGTCATCCGTTTTTCCGACGAAATATGTCCGTTTAACATTCTATTCTGACATAATCGTATATAAATATGTCAAAATAGAAGACTTTTCGGACATATTTCGACGGAAAAACGGATGCATGAAAATCCTAGCTCCCTTAGGCATAAGGGAGGATTTTCATGCATCCGTTTTTCCGTCGAAATATGTCCGTTTAACATTCTATTCTGACATAATCGTATATAAATAAAGGGAGCTAGGATTTTCATGCATCCGTTTTTCCGTCGAAATATGTCCGTTTAACATTCTATTCTGACATAATCGTATATAAATATGTCAAAATAGAAGACTTTTCGGACATATTTCGACGGAAAAACGGATGCATGAAAATCCTCCCTTAGGCATAAGGGAGGATTTTCATGCATCCGTTTTTCCGTCGAAATATGTCCGTTCAACATTCTATTCTGACATAATCGTATATAAATATGTCAAAATAGAATGCTAAACGGACATATTTCGTCGGAAAAACGGATGCATGAAAATCCTCCCTAAAGCTTAGGGAGGATTTTCATGCATCCGTTCTTCCATCGAAATATGTCCGAAAAGTCTTCTATTTTGACATATTGATATACGATTATGTCAGAATAGAATGTTAAACGGACATATTTCGACGGAAAAACGGATGCATGAAAATCCTCCCTAAAGCGTACTCATGACCGCGAAATTCGCTTTTTTTTGACATTGCTTCACCAATCTTTAATCTAGTGGAGATATTCCGTACGCCAATCGCGGACCTTTAAAAAATAAAGTAAAGTTCCGCCACTACATCTGTAAAATCATGACAAGACACCTGCAAAATCATGACAATACACCTGTTTGAAATCATGACAATATACCTGTTTAAAATCAATACACTGTAAAATCATGACAGTACACCTGCAAAATCATGACAATACACCTGCAAAATCAGGTGATTGGTGGATGATAAATAACGTTTTCCATTGGTCATACCAGGTGCTGAACTCAGATTGCACTCAACCCAGTTCAGTCAAAAATATGCTCTTGGTACACACTGAGAAAATTTTTTCATCGTCACAGTAAGTTTTTCTGCTATTCTAGCTGAAAAATCTATTAAAATAGGCGTTAAGAGAGAATTATGCTACTGCAGTAAAGTTCACTTTGCTGCATTCTCTTTATTATAGTAGGTAGTAAAGTATTTTTATAGCGTGTCTTTTCTGAACCAGGAAAGCTTCATTTGTAAAACAGCAGAATCACTTTGCAGAAATGGGCCAACTGTTTATTATTATAGTTATATCCTTTTCTACTATGAAAAGGATTTATTTTTATTTCAGATATTTTTTTAATATTTATAATTCTTTGCTGGGAATTTTCTCAGTGCAGTCTCAATCGACAGTTTTTAATTAGCTATTTGTAAGTTTGTTTTTAACGACTTTTCGTCTTTCGAATGTTCTGCCGACAAAACGCTAAGTGATCACGTGTGCAGAGCACATTTTTAAAAATAAATTTCGGAAAAAACTAAAAGAACTAATTTTTAATTAGAGCACCTTACATTTACTGACCGAGGCAAGAACACCTTTAACATAAAAGGACTGCTTTGAGCTGAAAGTGTCTGCCATTTTTAGCCGCACAGCTCAACTCTTGGTAAAATGCATTATCCGAGTTTAAAACACTATAGGTCAAAGCAACGAATGCCTAAGCGTTAAAATCTTATTAAAATCACTTTTTTTACATTTAAAATCGACGACAATAAGAGACTTTTTGCACCTCTTGTTTTGCCATTCCGCTGTGGTTATCGTTATACTGAGTATGCGCAGTAGCTAAAAAATTTTCGTTGTACTTATCAACCACGAGCGGCGTTATTTAAGGAGGAATAACCTTGTGCTTATAGCTATACCTATGGTTATGGTAAAACTGTGTGGATGCCACTTTGAAAAAAATTGAATAGATGTCATCCCGTTTTAATAAATAATTAATTAAAATTATCTGAAATTCTGAAAAAATAAGTGTGGATTATCATTTTGATGTTATGAAATTGGTTTACATCCGAAGGCGCAGGCGCAGTTCATGGCTCAGAGGTAAAATAGAAATAAGGGAAATATGTATACATTTGGCGATGCAAAATCTCCGATTTTGAAAGTCGTGGTAATCGTTATAGCCGATAAAGGTAACCATAACTGATCCAAAAACTGCTGTTATTTTAAGGGGTGCAAAAAGTCTCTAACATTGACTCAAGCACAGCCTGAACGCAAGCTATTATTTGCTGATAGCGGTGACGTCACTCGCAGGCCTTTGCGACTCGAGAATTGGCGAACGTATGCGCTTTTTGCTATGAAAATAATTTCTGTTATACCCTTAACATTCTAATATATAACGTGGTACCAGCGCTATTTATGGACCAAAATTCACCAACCTTATTACTTAATTAATGATGATAATTGTTTCCAAGAAGCTTTCTGCTTCCATGAAAATATTTGCCATTTTTACCATAGGAGAGGCAATTTCTTCTCAACGAAATCAGAAAAGAACGCTGGTAGGCTATTATTATGCAACGATTTCATCAAACTTTATATTAGATGATATGGGTTTTAAAAGGCTTTCTGCTACCACAAAAGTAGTTTCTATTGAGCCCTTATAGGGGCCATTTAGTGTTTGCTCTTCACAAATTTAAGAACAAACATGCTATTTTTTTTTACCATCGTTATTCATGCACCGATATCAACAAAACCAAAAGTTCATATTTGATATCATTTTATGGCAGCAGAAAGCCCTTTTTGATTTTTGAAGAGCACATTTTTGAAATTAATTTCCATTAAAAAAAAACTCGATTGCTGAAAGGCTGTATCAAAAAATTCGCTTGTAATAAAAACAATGACGGGCGGCACGATTTACAACTCTAGAAAACTTCACCGGTTGTTCAATAAAAACTTACATTCCTGCTGACATACTATTTACCATATTTCTGAGTCCCACAGATTACTCAGAAAACTGTGCGAAAGCAGTGAACCATATTTCCAAAGAGATGAAATTCATCAATCATCACTATATGGATAAATCCATAGAAACTATATTTCTTCTAAACATTGACAAAAGCTCTCCGCCGGAATTTAAAAGCGGAGAATAATACTAAGTACCTACCTTTGTCTAGGAAAATATTAGTGAATATTGAAAATTTATGTTACCTACTCACATAACACTTATTTTAAAAATTGTTTTTCTTTTTCATTTGTATTCCTCTTAATAATACCTCAATGATTCGATTCGATGTTTAAATCAGGTCGAGTAGCTTTGTGTAAAATAAAAACATTTCTCAAGCCTTGTTCAATGGGTTTCAAATAGTAATGGCTTTTAATAATTCACCTTCACCTTTAATACAACAAGAGGCATAAAAAAATAGAAACATAAAGAAACACCAAGAAAATAACAAGGAACATTATTCTCACAGCACTTAATGTATATGAACATGAGTCTTATCTAATAAATCTTTTTCATAATTGGAGTGGAAGGAACATAGTTAGTTATCTGACAGTTGGTTTTCATAAAACACATCTTCGAATGAATAATCTACAGTAGAATAATCCATTTCAGATACTTCAAAGGAATCTTGTATAATCGGAGATACAGGTGGGGTATTGTAATTTGAATAGTCTTCAATGTCAAAATTGAAGTCTTCCACATCAAATGCATCGCCAAAATGATCATATTCCTAAAAAAAAAATGGTATTAACATTGGTTAAGTCAACTTTCAGTTCAACTTACACCATTCCAGGAACAGAGATACTCATCAGTAAGTTCTAAATCCTCCTCAACTGCAAGTGACATGGGATCATTTTTAATTGACATTGGAGAGTTAAATTTTGTCACCTCCTTAATAGGAGATTCCGCTTTTTCGGTTTTCGAAAGGAGAGAGTTCCCTTGCTTGAATTTCTGTAGCAATTTTAAGCCAGGTGATTTCAATGGTGATTGATCCCTAAAGCCTAGTACCACAGCCTCCTAGTACTCATAACTGCGAAATTCACTCTTTTTGCGTCGACAATTTGACGTTTTATGCGTGAATCAAACGTCAAACTGTCGTAGCAATGTCAAAAAAGAGCGAATTTCGCAGTTATGAGTACTAGGCTTTAGTTGTATTCCTTTTACACCTAGGAAGAGCTCTGGAACAGCTCCGGAGGTTACGGGCTTTCCAATTTTCTGCACCTCGTAGCAAAACACGTACGTAGGTACCACTTTTTTCGACTCGGTTTAACTTTGTTTGAGTCTCCAGTCTCCCATCATTACACAAACACAGATAATTATAACTCTAATGATCTGTGTTTGTGTAATGAAGCTTTTCGGGATAAAGCGACAGTCAGCAACACAATAATTTCAATGTAAACTTTGTAAACAAATCTCGCAAACGCGCCAGCTGATTGTTCGTTCCGCACAGTGACGTCACAAGCGGTACTCTCGCCGCAGGGGACCCCGAGGATAGCAAAACGACCGTTTTGCTATCCTCGCTAATTTAGTTTTTTTATTTTCGATTCATCAGGAAAAATAAAGGGCTTCTAGGTGTGCTATGATCCCTAAAGCCTAGTACCACAGCCTCCTAGTACTCATAACTGCGAAATTCACTCTTTTTGCGTCGACAATTTGACGTTTTATGCGTGAATCAAACGTCAAACTGTCGTAGCAATGTCAAAAAAGAGCGAATTTCGCAGTTATGAGTACTAGGCTTTAGTTGTATTCCTTTTACACCTAGGAAGAGCTCTGGAACAGCTCCGGGGGTTACGAGCTCATTTCCTTTCGAAAAGTGTTTGTTGCACCAAAGTGCTCAAGCCTGAATCAGACCATCCAAAAGCGATTAGCTCTAGTGTTCTAAACTCTTGAAAGGAATACAACTATTGACATTAGTATGCTAGTATACTGTCAAATTTTCAACATTTTTCTGCAGACACTCGCATACAGTTTTTCACATATAGATCGGTTTTTTGGTACCCGGCAGGACACCCTGTATAGATCGATTTGGTTCCCTGTGGGACACCCTGTTTATGAGGCACTGGCTGACTGTTGTTGATCGCCAAGGGGTCATAAAAAATACATCAAAAAAACTTACTCTCAGTATTGAACCGTCTTCCTGATGAATCTTGATTCATATTATTGAATGAGTAATAGCAATTAGGACCCGAAATCTAGCTGCAAATTAAATTTTTAGTTGCAAATAAATATGTATTGATTGTGTTCTAAGTTTATTTATTTATATTTTTATTTACTTTTTTTTTTTGATCGTGCGGCTTCTGCCAAGAGTGTCATCTTTCAGCTAAGATTTGAAGTTTGTTTGTTTGTTCAGTCATTGTTTGGTGGTTGAACTTGAACTGTGCTATCTACTAGAAATAAGGGAGTCATCCCCAAGGAGAATACACACTCTAGGTAGAGCTTATCGGCCTCGTTTTTGGTAATCGCCGCCATATTGGTTTTCAACCATTGCCGACGTCATAACTAAGTCGTCAGCTATTTCAACAGCCTACGTAAGGCGAGAAACGCCATGCTGCTTACGTCACAACTGGTTGTTTCGCTTAGGGCGGGTATTATAAAACTGCTTTGGCAGTTAACTTGTAGTTAACTTTTTGAATTACATGTAATTCCAGAAGTTAACTTCAAGTTAACTGTCAAAGCAGTTTTATAATACCCGCCCTTAGGGGGGGAAGGGGGGGATTTGTTACACACAGGCCTTATGAGGATAAGCCATCCTGTTCATGTTTCATAGAGATATAAAATTTACTTTTTAAAACAACAAATAAAAAATCAAACTATTAACCCCATGAAAATGATATATTATGATTTATTTGTAGGTAAACTAACGAAGGTTTTTTTGTGTGGGGTCCTTTGCTTGGGTCACACCCCAGTGTAAATCTGTGACGTCAAGGATATCGCACCTCACTTTTAAAGCTACACTGCTTTTAGCTCATCGCCCTATATTCTGAATGTTATCTCAGCGCGTACCGTTTCGGAAATCTTGAAAATAGCCGCTTAAAACTACGCATGTCTTGAACCTATAATAGTTCTTGGTAAAGCCTAGTACTCATAACTGCGAAATTCGCATTTTTTTGACATAACGTTGACAATTTGACGTTTTATGCGTGTATCAAACGTCAAATTGTCGAAGCAATGTCAAAAAATTGCGAATTTCGCAGTTATGAGTACTAGGCTTAAATCTCCAGAGCCGATATAACTAGTTCAATTCCAGAACCGATTCGGAACTGAGTTTATTTGAACTAGGTTTTAAAAGTTGTATTCCTTTCACACCTAGCAGGAGCTCCGGAACAGCTCCGCGGCGTTACGCGCTTATTCCTTTCGAAAAGTGTTTGTTGCATCACGCATCTGTTCCTATCAAATCGGGGGCGACTAACACCGGAGCGAGTAGCTCGAGTGTTCTAAACTCTTGAAAGGAATACACTATTAGGTTCTTTCGCGGATCGGACAACGGTCGGATCCATTCCAGTTACATATAGTATATAGTTCATTAGCCTAATAGGAATGTTCACAAAATCAAAAAATCCCGTTTAATAATCATCAAATTATTAAGCATCGTTTCATAAGTAAATCTACAAAATTTTACGAAAATCAGAAAATTCTTTCTTCGAGAAAAACAGAGACGAAATATTAATATTCGTTTAAACGCACAAAACGCTCGCTGACGTCACAATGTGTAACGAGTTAGCGCGTGCGAGTACAGTAGCGCTACTATAGCACCGATTTACGTGCGGAAAATTCCAATTTTCTGCACCTCGTAGCAAAACACGTACGTAGGTACCACTTTTTTCGACTCGGTTTAACTTTGTTTGAGTCTCCAGTCTCCCATCATTACACAAACACAGATAATTATAACTCTAATGATCTGTGTTTGTGTAATGAAGCTTTTCGGGATAAAGCGACAGTCAGCAACACAATAATTTCAATGTAAACTTTGTAAACAAATCTCGCAAACGCGCCAGCTGATTGTTCGTTCCGCACAGTGACGTCACAAGCGGTACTCTCGCCGCAGGGGACCCCGAGGATAGCAAAACGACCGTTTTGCTATCCTCGCTAATTTAGTTTTTTTATTTTCGATTCATCAGGAAAAATAAAGGGCTTCTAGGTGTTTTAACGCTTAATACGTGTTTTGTGGACCTAGAATCACCACCTTTTATTACAATTGAAAAATAGTGAACATTCCTATTGGCCATATCTGGTGACGTATATCGCTGTTTTTTGACATTGCTTCGACAATTTGACGTTTGATTCACGCATGAAATGTCAAAGTGTCGAAACAATGTAAAAAAGAGCGAATTTCGCGGTTATGAGTACTAGGCGTTAATCTGAAATTTATAGCTTGGTTCAAGTTAGTGCGACACAAACAAACCTATAATTAAAATTTTCATTACGTCACTATAGTGCACTCGGAGTCAAAAAAGAGACGTCAGATCAGAGTGTACTTTATAGAACTGTCCTTCCAAACCCAGCTAATAAAATTTAACTCAACTAGGGGTCTCGGGGTTCTACAAGCTGTGTTCCTACTCAACATCTTTTCCAACTGCAATCAGAAAAACACAAATGTATTTGTTTTCTGAAATTCTATTTAGATTTTTTAAATGTAAAGGGTCATTTACATCCACTTACGTACGCGACATAAATAACGTACGAAACTGAGAAGGTGTGTGTTTACAAAGCTTTTTCATTACGTGACTCATGCGCAAGGAAAATACACACTCTAAGGAGTGCTTATCAACCTCGTTTTTGGTAATCGCCGCCATATTAGTTTTCAACTGTTTTGAACCATTGTCGACGTCATAACTGAGACATTAGCTGTTTGAACAGCCTACGTCAAGGCGAGAAACGCCATGATGTTTACGTCACAACTGGTTCTTTGACGTGGGGAGGTAGGGGAGGATTTGTTACACACAGGCCTTATGAGAATAGGCCAACCTGTAGTAATGTGTATCATCCTTGACTCATGCGCACTTATAAGTTGTATTCCTTTCAAGAGTTTGGAACACTCCAGCTACTCGCTCCGGTGTTAGTCGACCTCGATTTGAAAGGAAGATGCTTGGTGTAACAAACACTTTTCGAAAGGAATAAAGCGCGTAACGCCCCGGAGTTGTTCCGGACCACCTCCTAGGTGTGAAAGAAGATTTTCTTAATTCCATTCCGAAAATCCGAATCAAGTAAATCAAGTACTCACAAATGAGACTTTCTGAATTACATTTGAAAAATCTGAAATTACGAGTCAGATTTTCTGAATTTTATTTGAAAAAAATGAATTATTACAACTGATACTTTCTGAATAGTTGTATTCTTTTCACACCTAGGAGGAGCTCCAGAACAGCTCCGGGGCGTTACGCGCTTATTCCTTTCGAAGTATTTGTTGCACCTGAGTGCTCAAGCCCGACTCAAATCATTTAAAATGCATGAAAGCCAGCGCATCCGATCCTTTCAAATCGGGGTCGACTAACACCGGAGCGAGTAGCTCAAGCTCTTGAAAGGAATACAACTAATTATGCCTCATTCTCACTTGCGCGAAATTCGCTTTTTTTGCGCGAAATTCGCTCTTTTTTTGACATTGCTCCGACAATTTGACGTTTTATGCGTGTATCAAACGTCAAATTTTCGAAGCAATGTCAAAGAAGAGCGAATTTCGCGCAAGTGAGAATGGTTGATTGTTCACAAAAAGCTAAAAAGCAATTTTCCCCCACTTGATTTTTGCCTATTAAAAGTTGGAAATTTCTCCGAGAAGCATTTTTTGGGTCTTAACAAACTCAAAAACTTCTCTCATAGCAATTTCTAGCCCTCAGAGTTACCAGTTTCATGAGGCGAAATTAAACAGTGGCCATTCAGATTCTGAAAGCTGTAAGCTCTTTTAAAAGGCTCTTCTCACACTTATTAAACCACCCAAAACGCAACTTCCAGAGCCAAAACAATATACATAGATCAAGTCTTGAAAGCTCTCTAAATCGTGAAGAAACTTTTCCCGACTTGCTTTTTGTCCGTGATGAAAGTTTAAAAGAGGTTCTATTTGCTCTTAGCAAAGTCAAAAAATACTCTCAAATCTCTGCAACCACAGAATAGGAAACAATTGTTTGTTATTCTGTGTTTTAACGCTTTGAAATTTTAGAAACAAAATCAAGTAGGTACCTATACCTATTCAATGACCTTCCTTCATAACATCTTCCTCTTGGAGGCTATTTACACATTCCTGTAAGACGAGCATTGATTTTTATTGTCTCTGAAATTTGGAAATTGCTCTAAAAATTGCTGACAAAATCAAGGAAAATCTCTTACAAAATTTCCAGTTTCAGGAGTTTTGTGAGGTCAGCCTTTATTTCAAATCCCAATAGGTGGCCCATTGATAAAAATAAAATGAAAAAATTTGAACAATTAACTACTATAAGGGCAATTATTTTTATCTTATCACCATAGTCGTCATCAGGTTTTTTTTTTGAAGAAGTTTTTGCCATTACATAATCCTGGATTCATGGATTCTTGTGTTAATTTAAGTCTTTGTAATTTTAATTGCTCAAAAGAAAAACGCACCAATAGGTGCGTTTTCTTTTCATAAGTGGTTTCCCCATTAGGCCTAATCTATTTTGAAATTAGGTACTAGCCAAGACCGACAACTTTTTATAATTCAACACCCTCTCGCCAGCTTGGATGGCGCCACTGCTACATTTACTGTAAATAGTATAATAATGCAACAAAAGGGATCCCGCAGGACAACTATTAGGCCTTCGGGGGCCTCATGCCGGAAGATTCGGTCAAATCATGAATTGTTTTGGAAATTGATGCACATGTAACTTCACAGCTGAAAAATAGTGAAATTCCCATGAGAATTTCAACCAAGGGTTTGCAGGCATGGCAATCAATTGTGCTTAATCGGAGAACGAGCAACGTCTAACGTGCAACCTCTATAAGACATCGCGAACAACCACCTAAAAAAAATGTTTTCTTATGTAAATTGACCTGGCGAATCCGATTTTGGAGTTCGCCAGTCGATCTGGAATTGCGAAACTCGTCAAAACCGGCATTTTCCAAAAAATATCCAGTTTTATGGATTTTTCTAAATTTTTATTCAACACGCTGTATATCCCTTAGTTTTAGTCCGATTAAATTGAAATTTTTTGGAGAGCCAATTTAGACATTTGTTATCATGACTGACATAATAGAAATGCAGAAAAAAAATTATTAGTCAGCATATTATATTTTTTTTAAGTTAATGACACGAAAATTGTTAAAATTGCAGCCAGAAATACTCGATC